GCTGGTCCAACCCCCTTGCCAATGATGAGTTGCCATTAGACTGCAGTGTGCCCCACAGAAAGGGGGCTAGATGACGACTGGCAGTAGCCACTGAGGCAAGGTGGGCATAGGGGGACGGGGTTCCCCTGGGAAGGGAGACCCAGAGTCTGAGGGCACTGCTGTGGAGCAACACCCCAAGGTAAGGGGCACCTGGGTCCGGGAGGGACATGGGGGGCCTGAAGCAGGAGAGACACTGGCCAGCAGGAGGTGCTCCGAGTGCTGCAATTGAGCTAATTCCCTGATGACCAGCAGGAGGTGCTGCAGCGGTGAGTCAGCAACCTGCTACAATGACATACAGAGAAATGCCATGAAGTTGAGTGTAGGGCCTCACTTCGCTTGGCCAATAAATCCTCCGAACTGTAATCACATAAGAGCCAGCTATCAACAAATGCTGTCTGTAACGTATGGCTGTGCACTTCTGTCAGGATTAAAACCTCATTCTCACCAGCTGTAACATTTTCTTCTGTCCACACAGGCAATGAGATATCTATTTATCTAGGCACATACACACTCCAGCTATGGTCTGGCCACTGCCATGCTATTTGTTCAGCCATGATCATAACTGCAGTGTGGATGGTGCCTAGGATAACCCTAACATTTCTGAATGATATGAGAAATTTTCCTTTCTAGTATCAGGACGTAATACACTTTATACACCACATAAACAGGATTAGATAGTCTGCTTTTAGGGCAAAATTCTCACTCACATGCACACAGTAGATCTTCCCTCCCTGCACAATTTTATGTACACTCTACATGTGTGGAATTTATGGGATCTCTGCGCACAGAGAGTAGGCTATCAGCAATGCTGACGAGGGAGGGGGGGGTTAAGCCGGTACAAATTACTGGGGCCCGATAGTCCGGAAGGGGGCCCGGAGGCCGGCTTCCCCGGCTTTGTCGGCCCTGTTTAGCCAGTCTGCCCTTGCTGGGGGGCCGGAAAATTTTTTTTCATTGGGGCCCGAATCCGCTCTCAGCGGCACTGGCTTAGGGTTACCATATTTAAAAAATAAAAAAGAGGACACTCCACGGGGCCCTGGCTCCGCCCCTTTCCCACCCCCGGCCCCGCTCCAACTCCGCCCTTTCCCTGCCCCTAACTCCCCAAAGTCCCTGCCCTAACTCCCCCTCCCAGCCACGCGAAAAGGGCTGCCCAAGCGCTACCGACTTCACGGTTTGCCGGGCAGCCCCCAGACCCTGCGCCCCCAGCCGGCGCTTCCCCAGCGCAGCTGGAGCCCGGGAGGGGAAGCGCCCAGCCAGGGGCGCAGGGTCTGGAGGCTGCCCGGCAAACCGTGAAGCCGGTAGCGCTCGGGCTTCGGGCAGCCCCCTTGCCTCCGGACCCTGCACTGCTGGAGCAGAGCAGCTGGAGCCCGGGAGGGGAAGTGCCCGGTCGGCGGCTGGGGTCTGCAGGCAAGGGGGCTGCCTGAAGCCGGAGCGCTCGGGCAGCTCGGCTCTTAAACAGAGCC